AAAACTACCCGCCACCCTTCCGCAGCATCCCCCCCGCCCAGTGTTGTCATGACAACCCCCTCCCCAAGGCTCATATCCCCCCCCCGTTGCCGTGACAACCACTAGGCCCAAACCGGCTCCCAGATTACCCGCTGGCCTGAATCGGGCTCGTTTCCTTTTCCTCGGCGCACAGAATGCGCCTACTTTCCTCCCCGTTCGTTAAAGCCGGGCCTCCGGGAAGCCGCCATGTTGGGAAACCCAAGTTTCTCCGATTTTTTTTTAAAAGCGGGTATGGACTACTGCGCGCGCGCATACAGCGGAGGGGTTTTTGGGTACTGTAGTTTTTCTTGCTCCTCCCCACCCTTCTCCCCGAGGCGGTGCCGCTCGCCTTCGCCCTGTCCGCCATGAAAGAAGGGCGCGGGCGTGACGCGCAGTGTATTCTGGGTAAGACTGTGAAATGTTGCTGTTTTGTTTTTGGTTTTTTTTAATCGGAAATTGTCACCGGTAATGGATTTACTTCCGGGAGGCGCAGTTATTTATTCGCTTGTTTGTTTGTCGACGCTTTTCTCACCTCAGAGATTCTCGCGGGGAATCGCGTAGTGACAGTCAGTCGCGAGGAATGCTGGGAAACGGAGTCTTTTGAAACCTCAAGCCCCTCCATTAAATGGGCTTGGATTGAAATTCTGTTATACTGGGTGAGGGGTCGCAGTGACCTCATCGCTCTGTGACCTTTGCCCTCGGGTAGTCCTAAATGGGGTGGGGGTGGACTATCAATTTTCCTTTGTTCTCTCAAAATGAAAGGGGAAAATTAACTTTGCATAGATTTCCAATAATTTAACATGCAAATAAGCGGCCAGCTGGTTTCATGCCCCCCCACACTTTAAACATGACCTTTGACTTGTGATTTATTGCTCAATTAACCTTTGACCTCAGTTCAAACTAAAGGTTCTAGCTCACTAGAGAGAATCAACATCTGGCCCATGTTCATTTAACACCTGATTTCACTTATTTTATTTACATATTTCTTTGCCGCTTCATGAAATTTCCTGGGTACCCTTGGTCCAATCATTCTCTTGGCCTAACCTACCCCGCAGGGTTGGTGTGAAGATGAAATAAGAGCTGCATACGCTGTCCTGAGCTCTTATACTGAAGGGCGGCAGGATAAATATGTACTAAATAGATGAAAAATCCCAGGTTTGAGGCCAGTTGTGAGGAGGTAGGTAGCTAGCTGCCAGCCCCACTCTTGAAAGCTGCTAAACCCTTGGGAATGTGCCCTGTTAGTACTAGGTTAAAGGTAAAAAAATAAATAATCAGTTGCCTTGGAAGCCCAGACTAGTTCTACGTAGTAAAAGATTGGATTTATACCCCGCCCTTCACTACCCAAAGGAGCCTCAGAGCGGTTTACAATCCCTTTCCCTCCCCACAACAAACACCTTGTGACGTAGGTGAGGCTGAGAGAGCTCTGAGGGAACTGCCGTTAAGTGAACAGCTCTGAGATAACTTGTGACTGACCCAAGGTCACACCAGCAGCTGCATGTTGCTGTACACACAGTTTATGAAACACTGTTAAACATTTTGCACTCTGCCACTGACTAACAGTTTGGCTTAGTAGGTACATTTAACATTTCCATGATATATATGTTAAGTGCTATTTATGATTCTAACCACTGAAACAGAAATCAATCATGAATGTATTCAGGTATTAACTTTGGTTCATTTATGGCTATTGCCTACATGCATGCTGGGAGAATTAAATAAAATGCTAACTTGCTATTTTGCTGAGGCTTGTGGCCTTGGCTTCAACTGCGCATGTGTCGGTTAGCCTGGCTAAAATGGAGAACAATAAGTACCCTGTAACCATATCAGTTATATAGATACATTTAGAGCTTCATAGTTTAAGAAGAAGAGTCTATTGTTTAGCTAAAAGAAGAAAAATAACTGTGCCTGGGAAGACTCAACCCACAGGTCATAGTTCAATTAGAAATAGGTGACAAAGTTTGATGAAACCAATAATTATGCTTTTCAGTGTTCCCTCTAAGCTGAGTTAGTGAGAGCTAGCTCACAGATTTTTAGTCTCTGGATCACACTTTTTTGTCTTAGCTCAGGAAGGATGTCTCCAGAGCAAACTTATGCAGCAGCCAGATTGCTCGCTCACAACTTTAATGCCTGTAGCTCACAAAGTAGAATTTTTGCTCACGAGACTCCACAGCTTAGAGGGAACATTGGTATAAAATGCTATTCCACCCATTGTAATGGTGAAGGAGCTGGTGGGTATTCGAGGGTCCCAATCTCTTGTTTATCTGTGCTCTTCCCTTTATTAATTAATTATTTTTTGTAGTGTTTCTCCTCTACAGGACTATGTCGTGTGTTTCTCAAGCTGGGTTGGGCAAACACAACCAGGGACAGAGTTCCTGTTCCACAATGTGGAGGAGCGGGGAATCAAACCCGGTTCTCCCAGATTGGAGTCCGTGTTCCTAACCACTACGCCAAACTGGCTCCTAACCACTACGCCAAACAGTATCCCCGAACCTTCCCATTTCCCAGTTTAGGGGGAAATGCTGTTCAAACAAATTACAAGGATGATCTGAGTCGGATGGAAGAGTTTGCCATCTTCTCCAAACTCCTGCAGAATCTGCCCTCTTTGTTTCTCTGCACAAGCCACAATTCCAGAGGAGTCCCGAACTGGCCACAGTAATCTGGCTTCTGAGGATCTCACCTTTCCTACTGGCAAACTATTAAAAGTTTCTAGCCTTCATGGTGACAAAGATACTGTCCCAAGGAGACAGACAACCTCGGAAACCAGTAGGGTTACCAGGTGTTGGGAAATACCTGGAGATTTGGGGGGTGGAGCCTGAGGATGAAAGGGTTTAGGAAGGGGCGGGACTTCGGTGGGGTATAATGCCATAGAGTCCATCTTCCAAAACAGCCATTTTCTCCAGGCGGCTGTGTGGCGTCCTTACTATTGGGGGGGGGGGCTGTTTTCCCTTTAAATCAAACTTTGTGGCATGCTTGCTTATAGGGGAAACGGTTTTACCCTTTAATTCACACTTTGTGTATATATACTTGGTAGTTATCTGCTGCTACCAGGAATTAAAAATTCCAAATCTCTCTCCTTTGGTAGTATGGCCCAGGGTCTGGGCACTTCAGAGGACTATGTGGCCCTGAGGAAGGACTGTACTGAATTCTGGGATAAGCGTAAATAAAAATTGATTTATTGAATAAAGAAGAAAACATGTTTCTGGTTAACTTGAACTGTTTCTGGGAAAAGGAACTTGTAAAATAGAACTAGCAAGCTTGGTGTCACACACAGTCTCTCGGACACCAAAATTCCACTCTGACTGGCTTCTCTCTCTCTCATATATGTAGCCAAACTGGTTAAGCTCTTAGTCTTAGGCACACAAGATAAAACATTTGTCTAACCACACAGTTTAGACACAACTTGTTTCTTTGCCATTTAGACTCTCTCACAGTTCCACAGACTGTCTTTAAAGCTTTTCCACCCTTCGCTCTCCAAAGACATACGGAACTCTGTCATAAAACACACACACAGATTTCTCTCAGAACATCTCCCCTCCGGCACTCTCAATCATCACCCCATCACAGCACAATCATCTCCCCCTGTCACTCTCCTTAAATTACTGCAGTCAAACTAACATTTAAAGCAGGGGTCCTCAAACTACGGCCCGGGGGCCACATGCGGCCCGCCGAAAACATTTATCCGGCCCGCCAAGTGTTTTTGCCACTGTCCTGTCCATATGCTGCCCAGCACAAGGGGCCCTGGCGAGCGGTAGGGGTGCCATTCCCCTTGGTGCAGCGCCGCTTCCACTTTCCAGGGCCGCAAAAGTTTGCTTTTCTCTCCAACCGCTGGGGACCTGCCAGAGGGCCAGGAGCGCCGACAGCCAGGCCGGCACGCCCGCTCTCCCTTCCCAGGGCTTGGGCGAAGGTTCCCAGTGCCAGGCGAAGGTTCTGCCCCTTTCCCCTGAAACTGTCCACGGGCTAAGGAAGAGAGACGCGAGGCTCTGCCGGCGGCAACTCCAGGCTGC